TGATCCTAAATGCCCCGCACATTGGAGCTGGCCTTGGGACCCCCCAGTGTTTGCCGTGCGGATGAGTCAAATTCAAGGGCAGGGGGTGAAGCCATTGCTTATGATGCCACCTTTCCATATCTGAACACTGGATCAAGTCCTCGCTGCTGCACTTCTGATCCAGCTCCCTGCTCATGGACCTGGGAAAGCAGTGGGTTATGGCTCAAGTATTTGGTCTCCTGCTACCCATGGGGGAGATCTGGACAGAGTTTCTGGCTCCCAGCTTCAGCCTGGCCCAGCCCTGGCTGTTACAGCCATTTGGGGAATGAACCAGATGGAAGACTTGTTTTTCCCTCCCTTTCTGTGTCATCCTTTCAAATAAATAAATCTTACAAAAACAAAAACAAAAACAAAAAAAAAATCATAAGCGCAAGAGGCTCAATGCATATAGCAAATATCCATAGCAGGCAAGTGAGCAAAATTTCACAAACATCTGAAATTGGGTTTTATATATATCCAGAGGTGAAAGATTTATATTTGCGATTGTATTTTATGACTGGGCATTTTGGACATACTTTCACTGTCTTGTGCTACTTTGTGTATTTCTGATAGCTTTCTTCCCCCCCATTTTTTCTGATCTCTGTAGGCTTACTATCCTTTGGCCCTACCTGTTGTTGCAGCGGACACAGGGGACAGTTGTGAAGTTCTGGGTGTTGAGGGTTCAAAGCAGAGGCAGTGGCTAGAGAAGGGGGACAGAGTGGGGAGGAAGTGAGCAAGCGTTGAGCCTGCCCTGACGAGGGGGCAGGGGGCTGAAGGCAGCCCTCACTCTCTTGGAGCGACAGGCAGAGCCCCTTCTTCGCTGCTTGTTGAGGGAGGCACAGAGCGCTACCTGGATCCTAGTAAGGTGTGTGTGTTGGGGAAGTGTGTGCAGGAAGACTCCTGGGTGCAGCTCACAGTGCCTTGTCATGGCAGTTTGGAATGTCCCCAGGGTGGGGCTTTCCAGAGCAGCCAACATTGCACCAGCCTTTAGATTCTCTTCTCTGTGTCTCACAGGGCCTCAGGGTTCAGGCCCGGTGTTCCAAATGCTTGGTAACAGTTTTCTATGTTGTCCGCACCTTTGACTTTGCTCTCCCAGTAGAAGTCAGCCTTTTTTCTTAGATCTTTCCACCTCCCTTTGGTCTGGAATTTTTGTCACAATAAACCAGTGTCTTTGTTCTGTGTGTTTATAGGCAGTAATTAGGTTTGCTGTAGCCAATACACAATGCATACACCTCATCTAAGATGCTTGGAACCCAACCTGCTTCAGATTTCCGAGGTTTTGCATTTTGGAGTCTTTGCATAGACTTTGCAGGTTGAGCACTGTTCAGCTTGGAATAGCTCGGGGTTCTGGCCTTTTGTACCCCCAGAAAGGAGAGATGGGAAAAAAGGAGACGAAGACCAACCTCAGTAGAGACAGGTGGCTTTATTGAAGCAAAGAGGTGGTGACAGTCTCCTAAGAGACCGTTTAGAGTTTTTATCTGGTTAAGGAGGGGGCTTGGCAGAGGATTAGGGGCTTTTTGAAGCCTCAGAGAACTTTCCTCCTGTTTGACAAGCGGCCCTGTGCAGCATGTTTTGCCAGTTACTTTGCAAGGAGTCTGGTAGGGTCTGGTTTGGCACCAAGGGTCTCAGCTAAAGGGAGGAAATGGAGCAGGGACGAGGAGGGGGAAAGGGTTAGGGAAGGGGCAATGTGCCCTTTAAGCGTCCCTCATACGAACATCTGAAATGCCCCAGCATACCCAACAGCCCCAGCCATGGGCCTGCATGTCGATTTCTTTGCTCACTTGATTCCTACATCTTCCTCTGGCTCTCCCTGGTCCCCGCGTATGAGATGCACGTGGTCAGGGGAGGGCCGTCATCCAACTGTCTGCCCTGGACCCTCACTCTTGCCTGCTGAGTTATGTAGGATTCTAGGACAGCTGTTTGCCAGCTCTAACTACAGAAACATGCTCTTAAATACACCTGTCAGCCTTCACTTTTAAATACTTTCCCTGAAAGGCAGTTGGAGGGGCCAGCACTGTGGCGCAGTGGGTTAAAGCCCGGCCTGAAGCGCTGGCATCCCATATGGGCACCAGTTCTAGTCCTGGCTGCTCCTCTTCCGATCCAGCTCTCTGCTATGGCCTGGGAAAGCAGTAGAAGATGGCCAAGTCCTTGGGCCCCTGCACCCATATGGGAGACCTGGAAGAAACTCCTGGCTTCAGATTGGCGCAGCTCTGGCTGTTGCGGCCATCTGGGGAGTGAACCAGCGGATGGAAGACCTCTCTCTGTAATTGTCCTTCAAATAAATCTTTAAAAAAAAGGCAGTTGGAGAATAGCTCCGTCCAATGGCTGTATTGTCTGTGTGCTCCAGACCTACCCTAGTTATATATGGATTCTGAAACACGTGTCCTGCTCGTTAGTGTGTACAGCTACCAAGTCCCATCTGTAGGCTCCATTCTAAGAATTTTGCCCACATTCACCTGCTGTTCCCCAACCCTCGCACTCTCCCTCATCTCTGCCAACTTGAACTCTGCCGATTTCCTCGGTTCAGAGGTCTTTATCATCTAACTGCCTTCAGTTGATTTCTTATCTTGATCTAGTTTATCATCTATAATTTTCAGCTCCAAATCCTATCTTTGGAAGAGCCTGACCCAGTCTCACCCTTTCCTGTTTCTGTTCTGGTAACTATTCTCGTTTTCCTTAAGATTCCTCTCATTTCCTGGGTCACAAACCATCCTGTGGACTAGCTGGTCATTCTTCCGGCCACACGTCTCACCTCGTTCTAACAGGCTGTCGCGCACCCAGCTGCGGGTAGGTGCGGTTCTGTCAGAGAGTCCTCTGAGGCCAGAAAAGGCTCCTGTTTTCTCCTGGCCATCGGGGGATTTTGTACTCTGATTCTACTGAGGCACAGCTCAGCACTGACGTGGTATCACCCTGAGTGTAAAGACTCGTTACTTTCTCAGCTTTCATTCTTTCTTCACTCTCACTTCCATTACTATTCTTTCCTGAATTCGTCCAACTTAACTCCTCCACTTTTTCTCACCAGATCCTAAGGCATGCTCTTGTTCTATATAAGCACTCTTTTGTGGTAAATGCTAATTTTTTTGCAGATTGGCTGCCATGTTTACCCTCACTGTGGGCACAGTGATTTCCCTAACAGAGCTATCCAAAAGTACTTAACACAGGGCAGGGCACAGGCCCACACTCCAAGTTTGGAGCTCTGGGGACCCACATTTGAACATGCAAAATAGACTACCCTCACTCCCAGCCTAGGAACAGGGTCTCGGGCAGGCACTTCCCGCAGTGGTGCGGTGTGGGGGGCGCCTGCTCACCTACCTGAGCCACACTGCAGCACTCCAGTGGCTGTCCCCGCCTTGCTGAAGCACGGTCACCCTTTTACGTACAGCTCTCCTCTCTAGTTGCTGAAACTTCCCCTTGGCCTCCATGCACCCATTCCTCAGGCCTTGCCCAACAGACTGGACAAAGAGCAGCTTTTCTCAAAGCCCAGGTGTGTGGAGATGGCAGACAGCCTTACCCTCGGGCACCTGCCCTGCCAGCCTTCCCCAGGAGGCAAAGGGCTCCAGCCCTTCCCGCCCCCACACTTGCGGGAGGGTGGCCAGTTTCCATCTCCGACCTCCTGCTCACCAGGTTTAACGATCTTCTCCTGCGATGCCGAGAGCTCGATACCTGGACCCAGGACCTCGTGCTTCCAGCTGTGGTGTGGCTGTCTGGCTTCTTCAACCCTCAGTCCTTCCTCACCGGTAGGCATGCTTGTGGGACCACACCTGCCTTGCTTGAACTAAACTCTCAGGGCTCTGCCCAGCCCTGCTCACCCACAGAAAGGGAGGGAGTGACACTGACAGCTGGAGAGAAAGGTTCCCGAGAGGTGGGGCCGCAGTCTCCATCACAACTGCTCTACACTGCCGCCCTGGGGCAGAAGCCCAGGAACTTAGAGCGTGCGTCAGCTTCCTGGGGGCTCCTGGGACCTTCTCAGCTTCTGTCCCTTCCCCTCACGCAGCAATCATGCAGACGATGGCTCGGAAGAATGAGTGGCCACTGGATAAAATGTGCCTGACTGTGGATGTGACCAAGAAGACAAGGGACGATTACGGCCATCCCCCGAGGGAAGGCGCGTACCTCCACGGGCTCCGCATGGAAGGTAGGACACCGTGCAGGGCAGGTGCAACCTGTCTCTGAGGTTCAAGGTGGAATGTGCCCTTTGTTTCTCAAAGGCAGAGAGAGAGACAGGGAGATCTTCCATCTGCTGGTTCACTCCCCAAATGGCCACTGCTACTGGGGCTGAGCCAGACCCAAGCCAGGAGGTTCTTCCGGGTCTCCCATGTGGGTGCAGGGGCCCCAAGCACCTGGGTCCTCCACTGCTTTCCCAGGCACATCAGCAAAGAGCCAGGACTCGAACCGGCACCCATATGCAGGCTATGGCTTTACTAGCTACACCACATTGCCAGTCCCCTCAGTGCCACCATACGTCAGCATTTATCTCGTTTCTGTCTCTTGCAACGTCAATGCCAGGAGCCAATGAGTTTGAGGCATCTTGGGATGTAGTGTGAAGACTCACCCTCACCTTTTTGACAAGATGTTTTGCTGCATAAGGGATGTCTATGAGCACCCAAATGTGGTTAGGAAGAAAAGGCACAGGGGCCAGCATTATGGGGTCGCAGATAAATTTGCTGCCTGGAATGCCAGCATCCCATGTGGGTGCCCGTGCCCCTGCCACCCACTTGGGAGACCTGGATGAAGCTCCTGGCTCAGCCCTGTGGGAAGTGAACCAGTCTATGGAAGATCTCTAATTCTTTCAAGTAAATAAATCAATCTTGAGAGATAAAAGGAAAGTGGCGAGTTAAAGGGAGAGCAAAACTGGCTTGCATTAGTGTTCCCGATTCCCTAAAATAAATAGGTATAATTCCACTTCCAAGTGGCACTGTACCTGTTATTCTCTCCCCTTTTGCAAATCCCAGTCACGGGCAGGATGCCACCAACAAGCAGCAAACGTGACAAAACAGGAATGTTTATTGTGACAAACGATGACATCATCAGTACCCCCGTGCCCCACAGCTACAGCCATTGTGTTTGTGCCCTAGGAGCCAGGTGGGACACCCAGGCAGGAGCCATCGTGGAAGCCCGCCTCAGGGAGCTGACAGCCACCATGCCAGTCATCTTTGCCAAGGCCATACCCGTGGACAGGCAGGAGACCAAGCACACCTACGAGTGCCCCGTGTACAGAACCAACGCGCGAGGCCCCACCTACGTCTGGACCTTCAGGCTGAAGAGCAAAGGGAAGACGGCGCGATGGGTCCTGGCCGGCGTGGCCCTGCTGCTGGAGGCCTGAGAGGGGTGGGCGCAGGGGTCCTCGGTCTTTGGGCGGGGGCTCCAGCCTCGGCAGCATGTTGGGGAGGGGCTCCCATAGTGTTAACACGGGCACGTGCATTCCTCCTACTGCAAAGCATAAAACACTTTCCAGCTCCTGCGTGGTGCACACGTGCATTCCCTTTCTAAAACATGAGGAGGGGAGGGGCTCTTCCATCCCCCTAGCCCAGCTCCCCCTCCCTCCAGGGTCTCATCTGGACACAGAGCAGGGAAGAGGAAGGGGCACTGTAGTTCTTATCAGAGGTTAACGATGAACTCTTCAAAACACAGAAGCAGCAGGATGCGACGGCCCCCTGTTGTGCAGTCCAATAAAACGCTGGCTCTCGCCTGTTCGCTGTGCTTAATTGCACTGTGGTCTCCGATGAGAAGGCAAAAACCGAAGGGTGGGTAACGGCCTGACCTAGAGTTATCTGTCTGGGACGTGAAAGAGCAGCACCGATCTACACAAGGGCCTACGGCGACCGTGCCACCTCCACCACTTACCTGCACCTTCCCTCCACGCCACTGAAATTGTGCTTTGCCGTCAGCAGACACTTGGAACAATTCAGTGCACACAACACGTGTGTAAATATATATACATAGAGTCCTCTGCTATCTTCCTGAGATCTTGTATGCACATAAACACATCTCTTTTTTAAAAATAGTATTTAGAAACTCTGAACTCTACAAAGACATTTCTGTATAAAAACACAACTATAAGAAATCGTAGGCACAAACGGTATGCACGTCTTCTCCACTGAACTGGCTGGCTGCCGCCTCGCTTAATTGTCTTCCACCAGCCGCTTCTGTAAGCTGAGAAAAAGATGAGAAGTGTTTGGTGAGTACTTCGTGGGCCGGAGGCAAATACAAAAGTGACTCTCTCTCTGAAGAGTTTAAAAAAACCACCACCCCACACTCAAAACCCTGATTCCGGGGCTGGCGCTTCGATGCAGCTGGTTAAGCCACTCCCTGCGACACTGGCATCCCATATGAGCACCGCCTCGAGTCCTGGCTGCTCCACTTGGGAGTGGAGACCCAGATGGAGTTCCAGGCCCCGTCGCGGCCATTCGGGGTGTGAACCAGTGAGTGGAACACCTCTGTCTCCCCACCCCCACCCCCGGGACTCTTTCATATAAACGAATCTTTAAAATCCTGAGCTGCTTAGGCTGCAGGACCCTGTGCCACAGAGGGAACCACGGACAGGAATGTGTTATGTCAACAAAGCGTGCATGCCCAGCCCTTGGCCCGCATGCTGCTCTCTGTGCAGGAAGGCTGTGGCTGGCACTGGTCCCGGCAGCCTGCCTGGTCTACTCTGTTTCTCTCTAAGGCACAGAGAAATCCTGCTGAGAGGCGCTACGGGCTTCAGAGTTCTAGCAGAGCAGGAGGGCACTTCCGAGTGGAGAGGGGATGGTTTATGTCCATCGGCCATGTGCCCAGCGGGACCCCGCGACCACCGGGCCCAGGGCTCCACCGCCTTGCTTTCCGGTGGCTAGCGACTCACCTCTCCAGGTACTCCTTAACGTTGTTGTAGCCATAGAACTTGGCCAGGTGGATGAGGATGCCCGTGGCACAGCGTCCGTCGCGCCTGCGGCAGTAACTACAGTTGCATATCCCGCGGCAGGGGGGGCACATCCAGTCCTGAGGGGGACATGGCGGGAGAATGGCAGGGCTGGCCCCATCCCCCACGTGCCCCAGACAGCTGGAGCCAGGATCCCAATCCAGGTCTCCCACATCGGGGGCAGGGACCCAACCACTTGACCCCTCCGTGCTGCCTCCCAGGGGCTGCAGGAAGCCAGAGCCTGGATCCAAACACAGGCACACTGACACAGCATGTGAGTGTCCTCTCGCCTCAGGCCGAATGTTGGCCGAGACACGGGATTCCCCACAAGCTGGTTCGGGCTGGCCTCCGCTCCAGTCAGCTAGCCTGTTCCACCAAGTGCCAGCAGTGCCGACCTCCCCGCCTCACACGTGGAAAAACACTAACAACTGTTAGGGATTATACCAGTTACCTAATTAGCAGTGTCCCTTGCTCAAAAATGAGAGAATTTGACAGCACAGGTCACCTGCCCATGAACTTGGCCCTGGGTGCAGGAGCACGGGGCTCCTGAAAGACCAGGCTGTGAGTTCCAACTCTTCCACTACGTGCACCTGCTGCCCAGTCACTTAGCCTGCAGAGTCATGGGCGTTCCTCTGCGACTTGGGGACAGTACTGAGGTCACACTCGGTAACCACAGTGCCATCATCTCACTGTACACAGGGGACCAAGGCCCAGGGAGGCTGCACACTGGGCTCATTTATGCAGAATCCACAAGTGCAAACAAGGTTTGCTGGAACAGTGGCAACCCTACACGAACTCTCCTGGCCATCAGCCAGCACGTGCTCTTTCTGAAAGAACACGCTCGGGTTCACATCCCAGAGCTTTGAGATGCAGGAGAGGAGGGCTCTGCAGAATGCCTGGAGCTCCCGGTGTCTGATGAGGGTCCAGGGAGCCTGTCTGCGGCATGTTTCCCTTCACCAGTGTATTTTTAACAAGAGCCACTTGTTAACACAGTGGGTTAAGCCGCCACATTGGATGCCACCCTTGTTAACACAGCGGGTTAAGCCGCCATGCTGGACGCCGCCTGTATCAGTTCAAGTGCAGGCACCTCTGCTTCCTGCGATTGCACCCTGGGATGCAGGGGATGCCCAGCTCAGGTGCTTGGGCCTCTGCCACCTATGTGGGAGACCCGGATGGAGTCGGGGTTCCCAGCCCTGGCTGCTGTGGGCGCCTAGGGCGTGAAGCAGCACATGAAAGGTCTCCGTTTCTGCCTTTCAAGCAGATGGGAAACACACATGGTTGTTTCAAATGCCGACGGCGCGCCTACCGGGTCCAGCAAGGCGGAGCGCACGTCCTCGCCGTAGCGGTTCCTCAGGCAGGGCCCGCAGAACTGGCCCCGCACGCCGCCGCAGCCCTGGTTGCGACACACGGTCTTGGTGTCGATGGTCTTCTGCCGGCACTGATGGCATGTGTTCCCCTAGAGAGCAAGGCAGCAAGCCGTGAGCCCAGGGGCCCAGCAGGAGGGCCCAGGGGCCACAGGCAGACGGGGCGGGAGACCAGAGGACAGCTGCGGCAGGGGCGGGAATGCCACAGGTGACAGACGGGCGACAGAGTGCCCGGGAGCCCCTACGGTGTCCACCTGGCCCCACGCTGGAGCCAGTGTCCTGGATGCCCTGTGTGTGAAACCTGCCTTTGAAATGCTGGCAGTCACATCAGTGACGCCTCTGCAGCACTGTAGGACACAGGCCCCCGAGACAGCCAAGGTGATTGCCAAGCCTCCCCCTCGGTCACCTGGTGTGAGAAATTTTGGCCCTTCTGTCCCCCCACTGATTCCTGTATTACCTCCCCAATGTGCCTTTTCAGGATTTAAGACCTAGAACTATTTCAGTTACATATGCAGGTGATTGTCTTAAACGGTGCCCCTGCCTCCCCCAGAGCCAGAGCCATCCCCGGCCCGGTGACATCACCGCACCATGAGCTGGGATCGAGGGCCCACCCGAGCCCTCGGGAGACGGCACGAGGGTGTGGGCCCTGATCCAGCTGTACAGGATGGAGGGCTTCAAGTACCAGGGCCGTGGGCTCCCAGCAAGGGCCAGCATCGCGCGGATTCTTCCCAACCCTTCACTCACCAGGACTTTGTCATAGATTTTGTCTCGAACGGTGATGGCCACGTTTTCCAGGTCCTCTTCAGTGATGTCCTCCACGGGCCGAAAGGAAGACACTCTGTGCCGGCGCCTGTACCCCTGGCATCTGCCCTGCAAGACGAACAAACGCAGGACGTGCAGTGAAACTAACGTGCCTGGGAAAGCAGTGGAGGATGGCCCAAGTGCTCGGGCCCCTGCACCCACTTGGCAGACCCAAGCAGCTCCCCCAGCACTGGCCACAGCCAGCCATTTAGGGAGTGAACCAGCGGATGGAAGATCTCTCCGTCTCTCCCTCTCTCTGTAACTCTGACTTTCAAATAAAAATAAACCAGTCTTCAGAAGAAAAGGTATTATGTAATTGTAACTCTTCCAGACCGTCTGCTGGTTCGGTCATTCCCAAGCTCCCTGCTGCACGACACACCATGAGGAGCAGCCGGGGCCTCTTGGTTCCCTGCTGTCGCCCTGTGGACACGGGGAAGTGAGCCAGGCAAACAGCTCCACAACGGGGAGGGTCCAGAGTCTCCCCCTGCAGACCGAGGGCACCCCAAACACCCCACCCCCCCAAGAGAGAGGCAAGGGGGCATCACCCAGCCCTTGTCGCTGCCACCGCAGATGGGGCTGGCGTGGTAACCACAACTGCCTCTCGGCGCAGCCTACGGCTCTGCCTAGGGCTTTCTCTCGAGACAAGGGCCCGAGGAAGGGCACGGCATCACCCAGAACTTGTGTGTTCTCATTTCTGCAGGTCTGCAGAGCGCAAAACGCAGCCTGGATGCAGGTGCTGCACCAGCAGTGAAGCCAGCCGCACCCCACACTCCGGGGTCCCTGGGTTTGGCTCCCAGCCCTGGCCATCGCAGGCCTTGGGAGGCAGCGACGTTGGATCCAGTGATGGGGTTCCTGCCACCCACAGGGGAGACCCAGACTGAGTTCCTGGCTCCCAGCTTTGGCCCCAAATAGATGGATGGGAGCTCTCCTCATTTCTCTGCCTTCCAAAGAGCAAAAAGGAGGGGAAAAAAAGCTTTTGAAGTATTTATTTGAAAGGCAAAATTACAGAGTGCAAGAGCAGCAGAGAGATCACTCTTCCATCTGCTAGTTCATTCCCCAAATGGCTGCAATGGCCAGTCTGGAGCCAGGAGCTTCATCCGGGTCTCCCACATGGGTGCAGAGGCCCAAGCACTTGGCCCATCCTCTTTCTGCTGCTTCCCCAGCATTACCAGGGAGCTGGACTGGGGAAGTGGAGCAGCCGGCTGCTCCCATGGGATGCCAGCATCAGCCCCACTGCACAATGCCAGCCCCTACACTCTTCTAGAAACCCTGCACTTGGAACTAGCCCTGGCACGACCCGATGCACACTCACATGAAGACCACTGGCCCAGACAAAGAATAACCCGCTCATTACAGCGAGCAAATACCCCGCTGATGGTCTTCCTTCTCCTGATTCTGCAGAACTCCTCTGCGAACTTGGCGGCCGACACGGTGAAGCTCTCCAGGGCAAAGCGCTCGGGTGGCCGGGCGCTGCGGGCCGGGTTCACGCGCCGGGGGAGCTGTCCCTCGGACAAGGCGCGCCGCGTCGTCGTCCTCTTCTTCTGAAATCAAGAGCACAGGCGCGAGCCTCGTCCCAAGACGGGCAGCGGAGTCAGTGCCCGGGCGGGGAGGGACAGTGACAAGGGGCTCCACTTACGGACGCTGAGGCCGGGCTCCGTACCGGGAAGAAATCCGGCATTGAGTTCAGTTCTGCCAATAACCGGGCCAGCTGCAGTTCAGAGCAAAAGACAAGAGCTGCGGTGAACGTGGCCGGCCGGAGTCACCCCAGATGTCTCCCGAGCCTGCCCTTTTGCTAACTAGGAAAATCCGAGGGAAGTCATTCACGCGCCCCTTGACACCTTGCTGCCCCCAGGCCTGACACGCTGACATCACCACGCATGTGTGTGTGCTCCACGCCATCCTTGTGGGGACAGTGTGGCACGAGGACCACAGTCCTGTGCCCCGAGACTCCATTCCTGAACCTCGAAGTTCAGGATGTTCCGCACCCCCCGAAAAGAGGCTCAGCTGGATTATTCCAAGAGTTAAGAGCTCCAGAAATCTGATAGTAAACGCATGAATTTCTCATCAGCACCAACTGTCTGCCCCAGCACGACTGTGCCAGAGAATTTAATCACGATTCTTGCCATTTCAGATCTACATCGACACAGGTGGATCGCTGAAAGGTCACGGACACTTCTTATGCAAAGATGCAAATGTTCTGGTGCTAAAATCACCCCTCGCCTAGGCGCAAACATCTCAAGATGAAAATCACCAAGCAGGCTTCCTGTTTTCTTGACTTATTACACATATGTGATTCCGTCTGTGGGGACCTTCGAAAGGTTTACGTGAAAAGGAACTAAAAGGTATCTGGATACAAAAAAAAAAAAAAAAGCCTTGAAATCCATGCATCGTTCTTACTGCGCATTTTCCATGAACACTTTGAAGACCTCTTGCATGTCCAAATCTCAAAATTCTACACTGAAATACCTTTTAGTTCCATTCCCTAGGAAGTCATTGAAGTTCGTATATAATGACTGTATGGGCCCTCGTGTCTAACACCACTACATTATGAGCCTTTTTTAAAAGGAAAATATTTAAACAAATATACCAGAATGATTAAAAAGTGACTGTGAGTGGCAGAATGATTTTATAAATTTATATACAAAGCTGCTCCAAACGTTAGCAGTGACTGTGTGCATACAACAAAACCAGACGCCAGGACAGAGAGCTCACTGTGTGCCATCCACTGCTCTAGGAAAGACAGCCAAGATGAATGAAAATCGACCCCCGGGGGAGGAGGGGTTCACCTCCCAGCCGCTTCCCTTCCGTCAGGGCAGGAGGGCTGTTTCTCCAGGTAAAAGCACCTGCCCAACCAGCTCGCTGTAACCAGGGCACGGGCTCTGGGACCTCGAGCTTCTTTGCTCTTCTCTGCAGGGCATGGGCCAGCTGTCCAGCCCACCCCACACCACTACCGACTGAGAACTTAACTGGACAAACTTCAGCAGCGTGGAGCTCCCAGCACCACGCTGGGGGCTAAAGGCCGCCTTGGGACTCGCTCGCTGTCCCCAATACAGAGCAGCTTGGGCGAGCCCCACCCTCCACACCCCTGCAGAAGGCCGGCATGTATGTGCTCCAGCCAGATGGCCAGGCTGTTGAGAGCCGCAGCGCACGCACGGGCGCTTACCACGGCCTTGTTCTCCTTGATGTTCAAGTTCCTCTTCAGCAGGGCGTCTGAGCTCTCCTGGCCCTCGTCATCCTCCGACTCCGAAGCCGACTCCTCCCTGTCCCTCCCCGGCCTGCAGCTTTTCTTCCGGCCCAGGGCCGCCACCTGCTTGTCCTGGGAGCGCAGGCCGGGGCCCAAGGGCTCCGAGGAGGGGCTCCGCTCGGGCCGCTTCGCCGGCTTCTTGGTGGGGAACTGAAAGGCCACTCGAAGACCGATGCTGCTTCGTCCAGACCTGCGCCGCCGCCGGGGGGCCGCCGCCGCCTCCTCCTCCTCCTGTTCCTCCTCCTCACTCACCACTGATGCTGAGCTGTCAGAGCCCAAATCTGACTCCCCCAGCTAAGGAAGGAAAGAAGAAAGGACATGATCTTGACACAGACCGACACAGCGCCAGCCCCGGAACCTGCCGTAGCAAACGTCCACAGGGAAGCACTTCCTGCCCCTCTGAATGGCTCCTTCCTCTCTGCTATTCAGGTAAACGCCAGGGAAGTTTGTTGAGGACTAAGACTAAGTGCAGGCTGTCCACACCTGACCTGAACACCTGTCTCCCCAGCCTGCCTCAGGCCGTGAGCCACAGGGGCTCTCCTCAGAGGGACCGAGGCCGCCGAAGCCCATAGCAAGGACAGAGAAAGACAAGGGCCTGTGGCCAGCGCTGTGGCGTAGTTGGCTAAGTCTCTGCCTGCCGGCGCTGCTCCTCTTCTGATCCAGCTCTCTGCTGTGGCCTGGGAAAGCAGTAGATGTCCCAAGTCCTTGGGCCCCTGCACCCGTGTGGGAGACCAGGAAGAAGCTTCTGGCTCCTGGCTTCAGATCGGCACAGCACTAGCTGTTGCAGCCATTTGGGGAGTGACCCAGCAGAAGGAAGACCTTTCTCTCTCTCTCTCTCTCTCCCTCTCTAACTATACCTCTCAAATAAATAAAATCTTTTTTTTTTTTTTAAAAAAAGGGCATTTTTCACGCTACAAGAGCTTGCTTCAGCGCAGAAGGGAGCACTGGTGGGAAATACTGATGACCTTGCTCTACACGGCAAGAACAGGACCCCAAGGCAGTGCAGGAGTGCGCACCTGCCCCCGGCGAGGAGGACCAAGAAGCGGGCAGAGACCGTCCCTGTTGTCTGCAGCCACAGAGCGACGGGCACAGGGTCTGCAGGCTGCTGGCCATGCACTGTCCACTTAGCTTGAGAAAACCACGCGGCGTGGTGGGTCTCCAGCACGGAAAGCTCACTCGTTTCCCACGTGAGAACACAGCAAGCACACAGGAAGGTAGAAGGGCGGGCGCTAAGGGTAGGTGGATGTGACCCAGGTAACCATGGTGGGGGGGTGAGGGGTCCCAAAGCTCCAGTGGCACAGTGACAGGTGTGACCTTCGAGTCAAAGTCTCTGTCTAGGCACCCTCCCTTGACCACAGGCCACACACTTGGTTCAGACCCCAGGGGAGCAGTGAGCAGCAGAGACGCACCCCGGGCTCGGTTCCACGGCTGCGTCCTCCTCAGAGAGCCCCGACAGCCGGGTCTCAAGCTGGGATTCAGACAGAGGAAGAGAGGCAGGTACCTGTCCCTGCGGGACCCAGAGCACTGAACTTTCCACACTGCTCTCTTCGGAGTCTGACACGGACCCCGGTGCCACGGGCGGCTGTCTGAAAGCTCCTTGGACTGGCACTGTTTGCCTGCTGCGCTCCAGCCCGGCCTGTCTTCTTTACAGGGGACCCGGAGCCGCCCATTCCAAAGCACAGGAAGGGGAGAGCACAGTTTGCCCACTTGGAGCCAGGAGCCCGGAGCCAGCAGCCAACAAGACCCCAGGAGACCAGGGTTACAGCAACATGCCGGGATGGGGTCAGACGCTCGCCCCAGCTCTCACCCCAGGCTGGGCTGCAAGGCCACAGCGCTTGTGTTCTGGCTGAATTCTAAAATGCAATGTGCAGGTGCACCTGCACTGGGCCCTGGGGTATGTCACAGCCTGTGTGACCCGTCACAGTCCATACCCTACATGGACAGACTCCAAGGGTGCAAAAGCACCCAGAGTAACTCACTTTCCCTCACTGGGAATCCCTTCACTAGGAATTGCTCAGCTAGGGAGAAGACAGCCGAGGGGCAAGGATGGCCTGGAAGGGGATCGGGGGTCTTGCAGGGCACAATCCACAGAGTGCTGGGGGGTCTCAGGCTGACGCTGCTGTCCCTCTGCCAAGGCGGCTGACCACGAGTGCTGGGGCCCCAAAGGCTCCCCTAGGAAAACAGGGGCCACAGCAACCCCACTCATACTTTCACACAGGCCCGAGCCCAAAGTTTCTCACTGTGAGGATGCTGAAACCACTGGTCCCTTCAACACGGAATTTAGTTTTTTTTTGGTTTTGTTTTGTGTGTGTGTGTGTGTGTTTTTTTTTTTTTTAATAAGAAGCTGCTCTTGGGCATAGTGGGTAAAGCTGCCGCCTGCAGTGCCAGTACCCCGTATGGGCGCTAGTTCGAGTCCGGCTGCTCCACTTCCAATCCGGCTCTCTGCTATGGCCTGGGAAAGCAGTAGAAGATGGCCCAAGTCCTTGGGGCCCTGCACCCAGGTGGGAGACCCGGAAGAAGCTCCTGGCTCCTGGCTTCAGATCAGCACAGCTCTGGCTGTTGCAGCCATTTGGGGAGTGAACCAGAAGATAGAAGACCTCTCTCTTTCTCTCTCTGCCTCTGCCTCTCTGTAACTCTGCCTTTCAAATAAATAAATAAAATCTAAAAAACAAAACAAAAAAGGCCTCTCACCAGATGAACTCCCAATCTCAGAGCGCCAGGCAAAGACTCAGGACCCTGCTACTCCAAGGCAGACCGGAAAGACCAGAGAGGCTCAAGAAAGTCTGAGGACAGGAAGGGACACCCGGGACAGGTGCCCAGACCAGCAAGGTGGGGAGCGGTGGGAGGGGCATAAGGGTGAAGGACCCAGGGCCAGGGAGGAGCCTACGAGGGGCCACCCTCGCGTCCAGTCCCCGTCGATGGACTGGAAAGCTAAACCCCTAAGGGAAATGCCAATCTGTCCATCTGTGAAGGAGAGCGAGGAGCCGGGACAGGACTAAAGGGGCAGCACCCAGGACCCCCGCGCTGGTCCCCGTCACCTCCGCGCCGCTGCTCCCACTGACGTCACTCGGCGTGAAGCCTTCGAAATCTTCCATCTCCGAGTCAGTGTCCTCCACAAAAATCCTTCTCAGCTCTTCTGTGAAGTATGTGGAACGGAAACGCACGTCCTGCAGCAGCGAAAACACACCCCTGTCGTAGGGTCAGCGGGCGGGGGCGGGGCAGCTCCCGGACGGGACACAGGCAGTGGCCCCAACGCCTCCCAGCCCGGCACTCGGATTGGTTACGATGGTCAATTTCTGTGACATACATCTTACTACAATCACACACGCGCGCGCACACACACACACACACACACACATCTTCTAAAGCTTACGGAAATCCAGACCGACAAATCCATCTCAGAAATCCAGAGTGGCTGTCTGGATCAGCAGCGGGCGTGGGCGCTAAGCGCTGATGGAATCTGGCCTCTCTTGCCAGAGCTGCCACTCCAAGCCCGCGCCACAGGGAAGTGAGATGGCGGGAGACAGCGTGCTCCCTCCCCATGGTGCTCTCTCGGTAGAAAGGGCCGCCACTGCCGGAGAGGCGGGAGCAGGTGCCACTGACCGGGTGACCGTGGGGAGCACCAAGGGAATGCTCCAAGCCTCCCGTCCCCTCCCACATGCCTGTCGCACAGGAGGGAAGGCGGCAAGTGAGCTTGAGCAACATGTGGCTCTGAGAAACATATGCCAATTTTAAAAAAAAGTCTTTCTGGGCCAGTGTTGTGGTTTAGTGGATTATGGGCACCAGGATGCCAGTTGGGAGTCCCAGCTGCTCCACTTCCAATCCAGCTCCCTGCTGATGCACTTGGGAAAGCAGCAGAGGATGGCCCAAGTGCTTGTACCCCTGCCAGCCATGTGGGAGACCCAGAAGAAGCTCCTGGCTTCAGTCTGGCCCAGCCCCAGCCATTGCAGCCATTTGAAGAGTAAACCAGAAGATCAAAGATTCTCTCTCTCTCTCTCCCTCTTTCTGTAATGGTACCTTACAAATAAGTAAATAAACCTTTAAAAAGAAAGGAAAAAATCTTTGTGTGGCCCGCATCGTGGTGTAACAGGTTAAGCCGCCACCTGCAGTGCCGGCACCCCATACTGGGTGTGAACCAATGGGTGGAAGACGGATCTCTGTGTCTCCCCTCCCTCCCTGTAACTCCTTTCTTCTGCAATACCACAAAGGAGGAAACCCAGCTCTCCTAAGAGTGCTCCAAAGAAAGCAGAGGAAAACCTGCAGACTTTGGGGAAGCCGCCCCAGAGTGGCCCCCTGCAAGCCCACAACCACTCCCCAGGGCTCCAGCCGGGGTCCTCGTGCCTCCTGCCCTGGATGTACCATTTTTTTTATTTTTTGACAGGCAGAGTGGATAGTGAGAGAGAGAGACAGAGAGAAAGGTCTTCCTTGCCGTTCGTTCACCCTCCAATGGCCGCCGCAGCTGGCGCATCGCGCTGATCTGATGGCAGGAGCCAGGTACTTCTCCTGGTCTCCCATGGGGTACAGGGCCCAAGCACTTGGGCCATCCTCCACTGCACTCCTGGGCCACAGCAGAGAGCTGGCCTGGAAGAGGGGCAACCGGGACAGAATCCGGTGCCCCGACCAGGACTAGAACCTGGTGTGCCGGCGCCGCAAGGCAGAGGATTAGCCTAGTGAGCCACGGCGCCGGCCAGATGTACCGTTTTTTAAGCTTGAAAATGTCTCTTATGAATGACTGTGGTAACTGCAAGAGTTTGCTCCATTCTAGATTACTCTGTTCCTTTATTGATAGCAGTGGTGCAGCTGTTTTTTTTTTTGGGGGGGTGGGGAATGCACCCACAAAAGGGAAGTTTCTGTAATGTGAGATTCAAAGTGTGGTCGGGGAGCCCAGGGTGGGCACCATCTCCAAGTCCTTGCAGCGGCTCTGAGCTGTGAGAACACAGTGTGAGGGTGTGGGCTCAGGGCCCGGCCCTGGCTAAAGTCGCCAGGCACCTGCAAGGCAATGGGGTCTGTATGGAAACTGCATTAACCACCCAGAGTGGATCACTGAATGCCAGGGGCCCCGGAACAGCAGGGAGCCCCGATCTCCCAGTCCTCCTGGCTCCTGCTGTGCTCAGTGCTGGCCTCAGCAGGCAGCCGGCAGCCCGGGAGGAATACACATCTTTGCTGGCCTGATCGACACGGGAGAAAAACTCAGCAGTTGTCCTAAACCCAAGCCTGCGCTGTCATTTATCTTCCTTTCCCCACAGAGGCGAAGCTCTCCTGCGGCCAGCCTCGCTGCACGCTGGCCTCCAACCCTGGCCGGGCTCCCTGCTCCCCATGCACACTGCCACAGGCCGGCTGAGGGTGCTGCGGTCACACTGGGCACCATAAAGGGCACGTGTGACCAAGTCAGCAGTCTCCCAACAGCTGCTCTGTCTCTTAAGGCCCAGGGCAGGCCAGGTTCTCTGCTGGCTCCGAAGGCCCCCAGGGTCCATGCCCCAGGCTCCACCCCCCCTGCTGCCTGACCTGCTCTGAAGACGACTGGCAGGAGAGGGGGCGTGGCCAGAGCCCAGGCCTACACGGGACCCTGGTGGGAAGGACGAGGGCTCCAGCAGATGCAGAGCGAAGTGGGGGAAGGCATCAGTGTGCGAAACACGGCAGAAGTTTCCTCCCCCCCGGATGGGAATTGCCAAGACAGGAGGAGGAGGACGAGGAGGAAGGATGGATCAAGGGCAGTGAAAGATGGAGCTAAAGACGGGGAACCAGGAAAGCCAGCCGGCCGGCTGGCAGACAGAGGACGGGGCAGGCAGGCCCCCCTGCACACAGGAGCAGGCTCCCCCAGCGGGCCGCAGAGAGGCACTGTGGCAGGAGCAAGAGCCGAGGTATGCGGGAAGAGCAGCGGCAGAGTGGGACGCAGGGGGCCTGGGGCCGTGGCCAGGGCCAGGGTCTGGAGATGGATCCTAGCATCTGCACTTAGAGACGGGCCAGGGTCTGGAGTCAGACTCTTAGCATCTGCACTTAAGAGATGGGCCAGGGTCTAGAGACGGATCCTAGCATCTGCACTTAGGAGACGGGCCAGGGTCTGGAGACGGATCCTAGCATCTGCATTTAGAGACGGGCCAGGTTCTGGAGTCGGACTCTTAGCATCTGCACTTAGAGATGGGCCAGGCTCTGGAGGCGGACTCTTAGCATCTGCACTTAGAGATGGGCCAGGCTCTGGAGGCGGATCCTAGCATCTGCATTTAGAGATGGGCCAGGCTCTGGAGACAGACGCCTAGCATCTGCACTTAGAGATGGGCCAGGCTCTGGGGTCGGACTCTTAGCATCTGCACTTAGGGATGGGCCAGGCTCTGGAGACAGACTCCTAGCATCTGCACTTAGAGATGAGCCAGGCTCTGGAGACAGACTCCTAGCATCTGCACTTAGAGACAAGACAAGGCCAGGGTCACCAACAAGCAGTCAGGCAGCCCCTTCCCCTCATCACACCAACTGCTTCCCTTCCTACTGCGGCCAGCAGCAGCCAGGGTGGGCCTCCACACAGCGGCCACGGTCAGGGCAGTGGCAAGGCACAGAAACACCGCGGAAAGGGAGGTATTCTGATGGCTGCGGCACGAGACAAACCTCCAGGAAGTGAGCCCCGGCAGAACTGTAACTTGTGCTTGCTACAGATCAAAGCGATCCGAGAATGACACTGGCCCAGCAGCTGCAAAGAGGCAGGAGCACCTGCTGCACCCCGCGGGCGGCCACGGCAAAGGCAGGGCCCACTCCCTGCCAGCCATGGTGGGGGGGGGTTCTGAATACAGCAGGGAGCAGAGCAAAGATCTGATCACATGAGGGTTCTCTATTAATAACAACAACAATAATAATACCATGGGCGGGAAGAAACCAAGAGGCGCAAAGTTTTGGCGATGGGACGCCCACCGGCTAAGTGGCCTCAGTGACCGCAAGCCACGCACAAACCGAGGCGTCTCGGCCCCCAGGCTCAGGCCTGGGGAGGAAGCAGCATCCTACCTGCGCCGGGGACGCCAGGGAGTCAAAGCTATCACGGCTCCCCTCTGGCGAGAGGGTTTCCATGGGAACCTCATCTGCAAAGCCCAGGAACTCCTCCTCCTCGTCGCTGGGGGCGTTGAAGATGTCAGCCACCTCCTTAGGGATCTGTTTTGGGGTCAGAAGAGGAAAACCGGGCACTGTTACAATCGCGTCAGGACTGGAACTGTCCAACTCCCGACTTTCCCCCGTGGGCCATGGTTACCCAGAAGGCCCTGGGCACCCTGAGCCATGATTACCCAGAAGGCCCTGGGCACCCTGAGCAGGTGCTGCAGCCAAGACCTTACAGCTGGGGGGTGGGGGGGGGGAGACGGTGGAGGGAAGGGAGGGAAGAGATGAGAGCGGCAAATTCCAGAGGCATCTGAGAAGGCAGCAGAGGACCTCATGTGCCTGGGCCCCTGCCACCCATGTGGGAGGCCTGTAGAGCTCCAGGTTCCTGGTTTCAGCCTGGCCCAGCCCCATGCGTTGTGGCCATTTGGGGAGTGAACGAATGGACAGAAGATCTCTCTGTGTCCCCCTCTCTCTCTGTTACTCTGCCTTTCAAAATAAATAAAATAGGGGCCAGGGCTCTGGTGTAGTGGGTAAAGCCACCGCCTGCAGTGCTGGCATCCCATATGGGCGCCGGTTCGAGTCCTGGCTGCTCCACTTCCAGTCCAGCTCTCTGCTGTGGCCTGAGAAAGCAGCAGAAGACGGCCCAAGTCCTCGGGCCCCTGCACCCACGTGGGAGACCTGGAAGAAGCACCTGGCTCCTGGCTTCGGATCGGCGCAGCTATAGCCATTGCGGCCAATTGGGGACTGAACCAGCAGATGGAAGACCTCTCTCTTGGCCTCGCCTTCTCTCTGTAACTCTTGACTTTCAAATAAATAAATCAAATAAATCTTTAGAAAAATATTAGGGACACTCCCTACTTTCCAGAGACTGCCAAGGCCAGGCTTAGGGAGAAGCCATCTTTCATCTCTGAACCAAAATGAGAAAACAGGCATGGATCTCTAAAAACCACCTGTCTTTCATTCTTTACTGGTGGGTTTGTCTTTAAATGCTACACATGTAAAAGATTCCACAGAACATCAGCAAAGCCTTTGCTTAAATAATTTCCACCTATACCTACCACTCTGTTCTCTGTCGTGTGCTGAAAGTCCACACAATGGAATAAGTGGCTTTTCCATCTTTCCCATGTTCCGAATCAATGGCAGTAGTCGTGGGATTAATTCCAGGAGAATGCAAACGCCATGAGTGGCAAGTATCCCCAGAGAATGTCGTGAGCACACCTGGCCTCACAGACGCGAATCTGCCAGGGGTTACTCCCTGTGGGCTCACTGCCTGTCCCCTCCCACGTCAGTGCCTGAAAGCTCAGACACACAGCACGAGGAGGAGCTTCTCCCCGGAATCGCCACTCCCCACCACACGTCCAAGCATTGGGTTGACCTGTGTCTATAGCTCTGCTAAGTGATACTTGGCTGTTTCTCACCTCAAAAAACCAGCAATGTACCAGGGACCAACCTAACCTGTGGATTCCCACACACTGTTCAGAATACAAGCTGAGGCTCTCAAATCCGAAACTCCAAGATCACATGGAAAATCCCACCCCAGACACACGCCACAGCCAGAGGGCAAGCACGCTCAAAGTACATACTCAAATCATCTCCGGGCTATGTGAATAAGCGTGAATGCATTTGTGTTCAGGCTCATGTCTCACGGTTGAGATATCTAACTGCATCTGTGCCACCTGAAAAAACTTCAAGTCCAAAGCACTTCTGTTCCCAAGCATCACAGCCCAGGGACCCTCTCCCTCCACCTGCAATCCACAAACACCACTCGGCCTAAAATTCTTTGCCATACATCTCCCAAGAGTGACAGATCCAAAAATCCATAACTTTTCCTCAAACAGTTCACATGAACAAAATGCTATGACTCTAACATCATCATTTATCCTTTTTTTTTTTTAAAAAAAAAGATTTATTTATTTGAAGTCAGAGTTATGCAGAGAAAGGAGAGGCAGAGAGAGAGAGAGAGAGAGAGAGAGAGAGGGCTTCCATCAACTAACCCATTCCCCAATTGGTTCCATCTGCTGGTTCACTCCCCAATTGGCCACGACAGCTGGAGCTGTGCTGATCCAGAGCCAGGAGCTTCTTCCGGGTCTCCCATGTAGGTGCCAACTTCCACTGCTTTCCCAGGCCATAGCAGAGAGTTGGATCCAAAGTGGAGCAGCTGGGACTCGAACCGGCGCCCGTATCGGATGGCACCACTACAGGTGTTACCTGCTGTGCCACAGCACTGGCCTCTCATCATTTACTCTGAGACATCTGGACCATCCACAAGATGTCTTTTGTCACCCTTGGGGGTGGAGGCCAAGGGGATTCACTCAGCAAGGTCCACGCATGTCTGTGTGGCCTGACGCTGGGCTGCGCTGCTTTCCACTACCTCTGAGCTCTCTGCTCCCTTCTACCCGCACTCAGGGGAGGCATGCGGCAGCCATTCCACACCATGGTACTTCCCAGCGCACCACAAGAGGAGGGGAAAAACCACATGCAAATCTGGTTTGTAAAATTTCACTCTAAAAGTTTCCCAACAAAAGCAGGCAGAAGAGAAAGGAACGCACACATGTGGACAGCTCAGCAACTCTGCCTGGGGGTGATCTCAACTCCTCTGTGTTCCTAACCCAACTCTCCTCCCAGCGCACTGCAAAGCAGCCCCGGACAGCGTGGCAGCTCGGCCTGCAGCGCCATCAAGCGGGCACGGTTCCTCGCCTTTCTTTAACCCTACAGCTCATTTGCATTCCAACCCAATCAGGCTCACACATGGGTCACACCTCCTCGGCCCTTTCTTTTCTTTTTTTTCCTTGCAACTTATTTCTTTAAGAAATGCAGTCATGTGATCCCGTAGCTTACCACAGTCCGACATTTGGAGAGGCAGAGCACTCATCTGCTGGTTCACTGCCCCCATGCCTGCAGTGCCCAGGGCTGGGCTGGGCCACAGCTGGGGACTCATTCCAGGTCCCCATGTGGGTGGCAAGGACCCAGCCACCTGAGTCGGCCCCACCACTTTCTGAAGCCTGCATTAACAGGCAACGGGAGTGAGGAGCAGGCACTCTGCCGTGGGCCGTGGGCAGTCTAAGCACGGGGATACACACTCACCCCAGGCTTCTCTCCAGCTGCAGCCCCATGGGGGAGGTCAGCACCACTTCGGGTTTCCTGTAACTTGTAGCTGACTTCCGAGGCTTGCTGAGACTTCGGCTCGCTTGTTTACGACAGACTGCACTTCCTTCGGAAAGCACATGAACGTCTGGCTCGCTTGCGCGCTCGCTCTCTGTGTGCTGCAGCCTGAGCAACAGGGTGGCACCTGCCAGGCTTCTGCATGGCAAAGATACCCTTTGTCCTCGGAGGTCAACAGGCAGGGTGACAGCCGGATTCTGTGACGGCCCGACAGGCTCAGCATCCACGGGCCGCTCCTGCTTCTGCCGCTACCTGCTCTGGAGATGGCGGGGCAGGGACGCTCCCAGGCCAGCGCCCCTTCACAGAGGGCCCGGCATCCCCCGTAACACGAGCACCGATCACTCACACCCCTCCTCTTCTCTCCCACCGTGTGCATTTAGGGTTTTTATTTTTAAAGATCTATTTGTTTGAAAGAGTGATGGAGAAGGAGGGAGAAACAGAGAAAGACATCTTTCCTCTGCAGGTTCACTCCCCACAGTTAGCTGCAATGGTTAGAGCTTGGCCAGGCGGCAGCCAGGAGCTAGGAACTCCACCGGGGTCTCCCGGCAGGTGGCAAGGGCTCAAGTACTTGGGCCCCCTTCCACTGCCTTCCAGTGCGGGGTTGGAAGCTGAGCATCTGGGACTCACACTGGCACTGCAACGTGGCATGCCGGCATCACCAGCAGCATCTCAACCCGCCCGCCGCAACACAACCCAGACCCCAGACTCTATGTGCTGCCATCCACAGTCTTCATTTCATTCTGACGCTCCGACTGTCCCAAAGCTCCAACTGTCCTTGGGAGCTCCTTCAAGCCAGCGCCTGTGTCCTCCTGACGCGACGTCGTCATCTGAGTGCCTCACACCAAGCTAACCATGCCCACGTCCTGCCCCAGACCTCAAGTCAGCCGCGTCTCCAAAGAGCACCTTTCACTGGGGAATGGCTCTGAGACATCAAGACCAGAGCACTCTTCGCGACCTTTGCTGAAGAGCCATCACTCCCCGGACTTGCGCTGTGGTGCGGCGGGTTAAGCTGCCGGCTGTGACTCCCATGTGGGCTCTGGTTCAAGTCCCTGCTACTGTTCCTGGAAACGCAGCAGTTGATAGCCCAAGTGCTTGAGCCCGTCACCCACTTTGGAGACCCGGATGAAGCTCCTGGCTCTGGCCTGGCCCAGCCCCGCCTGGCTGTTGTAGCCATCTGAGGAATGAAGCAGCAGATGGAGGATTCTTTTTTTCTCTCTCTTCCTCTGCAACTCTTTCAAATAAATCAATCTCAAATAAACAAACCCACAGATCAGTCAATCAATCAATCCTGCTGTCATTGCTCTAGGCTCTTTGGCGAAAGCCAAGACGTCTCCCATCTCTGGCATCGCAAGTTCAGGGGCATGCCCTGAATGAGAGTCGGATGTGGCAGGGTTCCTTCCCACTCCCCACAACCCCATGCTGGCGTCTTCCTTCCCCGATGACGGAAGCCCCCAGTCACCTATATTCCCAGCGCCTTGATCTGTGAGGCACAAGGCACAGTGCCAAGTCACACCACGGACAGACCGCCACCAACAATCAATCACTTTCACGTTTTCTTCACAGCCCTGTCTCCCCTGGGACACCCAGACAGTCACACCTGGGGAGGCAAAGGTGCTGCCATCGGGCGGAAAGTGGACAGAGAGGCCTGCAGGGGGTGACGTTTGCTAACGACTTGTACTGCTCTGCCAGGATGCTCTTAGGTGGAACTGAAGCTTCCTATCAGAGTGCGTGGGGTGAGTGACACAGCGACCACTCGGATGCCACTGCCTGGACTCAGGCCGGCAGGCTGTCCCCACCTTGTTGGTGCACAATTAGGACAAATATCAAGGCAGCAAAAATGGCGGCCACAGCTACTCTGACAACAAATCTGCCCTCCTGGACCCTTAGAGGGCTCA